GCGGGGGAGTTGTGGAAGCGGGTCAGGGCAGGGGTGTTTTTCTTTTCTTTTCCGTGATGATTCGGGAGTTCGGGAGGATGTCGTCGCAGCTATATAGGGCGGGCCATCCAAATAGTTATTCTAATGCTGGAATTAAAATAGTGCTACTCGATACTCTATTTTTAATGGACGAGTTGGTTGAATAGTCCCGATTTATTTTTGTCCGGTTTATTTTCGTCTGGTTTATTTTCGTCTCACCTCCCACCACCCCTCCCATGCTAAAACCAAATCGCGTCTGATACTCCTTTCATTTATTCGTAATGTATTTATGTGAAAAAATCAATTATGATTAATCTCTAATCAATCTATGAAAAATCAAATCTAAATTAATCAACTATACCATAAGTTACTCAATCACATTAATTAATATTTCCATACGCCTCAAAAATTACTTTAATTGACGTCTCCATACCTTGCCCAAAATATTAATTAATGTGATTGAGGAACTTATGGTATAGTTGATTAATTTAGATTTGATTTTTCAGAGATTGATTAGAGATTCTTCGGTACACATGTAAAAAAGGAAGAAAAAAAAGGAAAACAAACCAGGAAAAGGAAACATATGCATGGACGTCAATCCCCTCCATCTCTCCCGCTCTCTTTCCTTTCCTAGGATGTAGCCGCTGATTTTCTCCCTTGCTCATGTTCTCCTTAAAGAGGTGGACATTGAGACTTGAAAGGCAACGAGCATGGTAGGCCTCAGATCGCGGATCCTCCTGACCTTGCAGTCCTTCTCCGATGTCGTCCCTGCATAATCCAACGCCTTCCTCCTCCCAGTGCCGCACCTGCGTCATTGAAGGTTGTGTGCGAGCTGGCCGCCGTCCCCGAGTATCTTCAACAGGTTGTCTGTTGCTCCCAGATAACACAATTCGTGGAAGAGTTACAGAGAAGTGAGGGTTGGGGAGAACTGGCGTCGCGCCGTCGCCGATCTGCTGGATGACATGCACCACGGCCATGCCATGGAGCCACCATCGCTGCTCCTTCCAGTAGGCAATGAGGTTTGGTCGAGGGCAGGAGTAACAGTTGTGCGTGCTTGCTTGCTGTTATTCTCGAGGTGGATAGGTCATGCCTGAGCCCTCCTCCACGCATGGCGCAGCTTCCTCCGATCTCGCCCGTCCTCGAATCCCTGCTGGCAGGTGATGTTACTTCCTTACCTCAACGAGTCAAAACTGAAGGCATCCACTTCTTGTGGTAAGAACCGATCTCATGTACTGCCATTTTTTATAAGTTTCTTGATGCAAATCATAGCAAGAATATTGTGTTCTTCCTATTTGTTTGATTAGTTCCAAAACAGAAGCAATTCTATCGTGACGATTTCAAATGTTTCTTGTAGAAATTTAGCATAGTACTAAAGCAACTGAATTATCATTTTATCACAACCGCGGGCTAATTCTGAAATAAAAGCAATGGTGAATTTTTTTCGTTAAACTGTAATCCATAAAACGCCATTTTGTATATTATTCAACTATTGGGTATGCTAATCTTTGGGTTCATTGGATGTGAATAATGGACCTGGTATGATTGGTGCTTGTACAATTACGTAATAGGAGTAGCAGCATTATACATCTTTCGAGTTACAGTATGTTTACCAGTGGGAATTGCGGCTATGGATGTTTCACAATTGTGTGTACTGCAGGTGTACGTGGATTAGGAAAACTGTGTGAGCCAATGGATTTTTCCATGTCTTCCTCTACGGCAAGCCCTTGAGTGTATTTTATTTATATCTCAAGAACATGACAGTTTCAAGAATATATATGAGTCAGCTATCTTGTGCCCTTTTGTCCATTTTTACTTAAATACTATGAGGCGACTACTTATTGTTATTCTTGCCATTGAAGATCTAGGTAAAAAGAAAATTAATGAACCTGAAATATCGGCAAAACAACAAGTATTGTTAACCAAGGAAAATAAGTCATGATAAAGACAAGATACGTTTTGACCAGAAAAGCCCGTGCTCGATTATTTCGAGCACAGGCTTCTTCGGTAAAGACTCGATTTTTTTTAATCGATGTATATCTAATTCTAAGTCTTCTTTGACATGTACATGATGAAAGAAAAGTACTATTTAGACAGAAATTGGTGTGTCTAATGCCTGTGCCAAATGTTGTCGAGGAAGATAGTAAACTCATTGAGGATGATCATTGGGGTTATTGCGAAGCTGACTATTTGGTGGAGTAGTCTCGCGACATGGAGGACAAGCCATGAGACATGAAATAACTGGTAAACTGAAGGATTCCCCGCGCATTGCAGCAGGAAATTTAACAATGACTTGGAAAGATATGATTCTTTTGAGGAATTGTATTGTCTGATAGTTGCTCCGATTGACACATTTCAAAGCACAAGAGTCAAATTGTGGCATCTTCTCAATTCAGTCTCATGAAAGTGAAACTGCAGCGTACATTTATATCTCATTTAGGGGATTTAAGAATTACATTGTGACTTCCACTAAGGAGGGCAGTTGTTTCCAAGTAGGCTACAATGCGACTTAGAATAGAACAACACAATAATTAACCGAGGATAATGAAAGGAAGTTACCTGGTAATTTTCCTGATCAATTCATACAAAAAGAGTAGTCTAAATCATGCAAAACAAAATAAACGCCAGTTTTCAGAAAATCAAGGCATATAAAATTTATAAGTCCCATGATAAAGGCCATAATAAAATAGTAGAATCTGAATGTGTAACACACCACTTCGAGAGATAAATGCACATGAAAAGGAGATTTATATCTCATGAGCCCAAAAAAAAGACTAAATTTGACACCCTTGTCTCCGAATATCACATACCTGCACGAAATAGGTCAGGCAGAGAAAGGTTAGAGGAAACAATCGAATTATGAGCCAACAAATACAGTAAATTGCATTGCTATAATACCACTTGACTTGTTGTACATCCAAAAATTGGAAAATTGAGAAATAGAAATGGGTCAGTGCATTTGGAGAGATATCTTGGTCTATCTTATTTCTTTGTTTGACACTAATAGCAATATTCCTACAATTAGAAAATAGAGAAATAAACATAGGTTAATGCTGATAAATTTTGCTTTCTTAGTGGGCATGACGATGAGCTTAACAAGTAAGTACATAATAAAGATAATAGGTGCAGGATAAGCATAATATAATATGAGAGGACTGAACTAAAAGTAATTGCTTAAAACTCAAAAGCAGAAACGAGTAAGCCAAAAATTAATTAAGAAGAGAACGATAAAAAAACATTTGGAGTTGTTGAATTGGTACTATAAGCCATGATATTTTTTAGCGCTCATCCTTGTAAGGAATGAAGTGAACGATCATCCATGATTGGGAGCGGATCTGCTGGAGAAAATGAAGTGGGGAAGGAAGTGAATCGCGGTGAGATGGTTGCGCCTCGCAAGGTAGATTTTTCCCATGGGAGAAAGATTAGTCGTTATGTTTTTTAGGGTTGGAAAGGAAATTGTCCATTGCAAACGGGAGTGGTGATGTGGCAACTATGCTGAGGTGGACATGGTGCATGTTAAGATAAATAAAGAGTGGGGATGAGTCTCATAGGTATACTAGATTTGTACAATCACTTTCATTTTTTCGTCCCATCAAGTCAAACAAAGAAACAAGATAGACCAAGATCAAATTCACTACTTACGTTGAATGAAGGAACAATACGTCGTGCACACGCATTAGACAGAGTGAACTAGAAGGGATAACTGGATCTGTACAATCACTTTCGATCTTTCTAGGAACATTGGATGTAATTGATTTGGTAAAGAAAATGACAAGGGACTATTCTATGATTGATGTATGGTAAATTTGCGATGAAGTATGTGTCTGAATCAAGTATAATCCGCTTAATCTTTGATTTATCGGTTTTGTTAAATCTCATGGGCTTGAATTATTTTGTTGCGTGAGCAACTTTCTGCTTTGCACGAGGCCGAAGATGTGGACGACATGAGGAGTGCCGACCACGGCAAGGGCGAGCCGGTGATAGTTGGCGGGAGTGGTTGGATGCAGACGATTAGGCCTAGGTAGGCACGACAGAGGAGAAATCGTCGCAGGTGAGGAGTAAGAAGGTGAACATGTGGGGGCGTGCTCCTAACCATTGGATATTTGATGGCAAAAAATAGTGATTGACACGAAGAATTTTTCAGGCATCTAACGTTAGGTGCCCCTTTAGTTTATTTACAATTATTTGCCCATAGCAACGCACGAGCATTTAACTAGTATATATATAGAGTAACATTATTTTGATCACGGATTATAATAGTTATTTGGATCACACCAGCCTATATAGAGGCGACGGAGGTTCTCCCGAGATCTGAAAACCTGAAGCGAGCAGCCGATAAAAAAAGGAAAACCGATCCCGGTCCCGAATTTCTTCCCCAACCTCCCCACTCCCTGCATCTCCGTCCCGCAACCGCGGTCGCGCCCACTCCCCGGACCTCCCTGCCGCTGCGCGCCATCCCCCGGCCCCGCCCCGCCCCGTCTCCCCTGCCTTCATCCCCGACACCATCCCGGACCTTCGTCTGAAGCATCCGTCACATCCAGATCCACCCGCCGGCGACGCCCACCGCCGGCACCCCTCTACCCACTACCTTCCCGGCGGCTCCGCCTGCGTACCACCGCCGGCGCGCCCCTGTGCCCAGTCGCTGTTGCTGCCTCCCCACCCGCGCCCACCTCCTGGCACCCATGGCCGCCATCGCCAAGACCTTCCCTCCCCAACGAGGCTACACCTAGCCAGAGGCCTGCTGTTCTCCAACGCCTGGACTGACGCAGTCAACCGTGCGCCGGCAACGCGCAACCGGTCACCATGGAACCCGCGTGCAGGCATTCGTCCATGGTTGATAGCCTCAACCATGGCGGTCCATCCCCACATGCCGCCGCTGGCCGTTGCCGTCCCTGACCACCAGACAAGCACCGCCGCCCCTGCATCTCCGGCCACATCGACCTTCTCAAGAGGGCTACCTTGACCTTCCCGGGGAAGGTTCATCCATGGAGCGGCCGCTGCCGCCACTCCACTCCCGCGCTGTGCCTGGCTTGCCGCAAGCGTCCGCCCCCCATCACCAGTGCGCTGCCACCGCATGGAGCTTCCAGCGCCAAGATTCCCTTGTGCGCCATCAGCTACCACCTAGGTTGCGTGGCTACTTCCCACCCCGTTATGCTTCAGATTCTGTAGAGCTTCAGGTTCAGAGCTTTTCACTTCTGAAATTCAGTAAGTTGCCTTGGGTGAATGCTGCGTCTGGTTCAGTTGCAAGGAGTCCTCTGTTTTGCTGTTGTTGTCTGTCTACTTCTGCTTTATAGTTTAATTTGAGCCATTATAGAACTGATGGAGACTAGTAATGGATCAGCCATACTTCCTCTCGGTATGTAGTTTGTTTAGTCTAGTATGTTGTTTTGTGCAGGTGAAGGGAAGGACTACCTGAGCGCTACCAGCAGTACAAGGAGTTTAGGGCCTATTCGGTTTGGAGGATTTTCATAGGAAACACATAGGAACAAGGATTCCAGAGGAAAATTTCCTATAGATGCATTCGGTTTGTAGGAAATGTGTACAGAAATATCGTAGGAATACTATTCATTTCCTCTGTTTTTGGAGGAAATTATACATCCACTCAAAGCTCATTTTACGCGTAGGAACGAGGCGAGTCAAATCCTTAAGATGGCAAGTGCCATGCTATAAAGTTCCTATAATAGTTCTAATTCCTACATTATGAAATCCTCCAAACCGAATGAGCCCTTAGAAGGCAAGAGATGGGTCAATAGATGATCCCTACTTTGCAGCAATGTGATGTACGTGTGGAGGAAAGGTCAATCAAAAAGTGTAGTTTGATAATTACGTCGTAACTTATTAAGCTCGCTTGCTCTCTGGCTCTTATTACTTTGTGTTTGTGCCTCAAACAAAAGAAAAAAAAAGTAAAAAATATTTGAAGATTTTACACTAGAGAAGTTCATGTACACAGACCTACCCCCGATGCCCAGCTCCCTGCCGCAGAGATGCCTGTGTGCCCCCCAATGCCTCCTTCCGGCTTGCCGCCGCCCCCACAACCTCCGGGCACGCCGTCACCCCTGCCAACTTTCGGCGCGAGGCCGCCTCCGCTTCCTCCTTGCGCGTTATCACCCCCATCTCATCCAGCGCGAGGCCGCCCCTTCTTCAGGGCGAGGTGGATTTGGACTTCAGCGGCAGTACAGAGAGCACTTCGGGAGCACGTGGCGGGCTCAGAAAAGCTGGCCGCCCCTTGCTCTGGCGAGCTCAGGTGCTCTCGTCGGCGGCGGCCCATCCCACTGCTCGTCGCCGACCACAATGGTGTGAGGAGGTCGAGCTTCCATGCTCTTTAACAAATAAGTTCAAAGATAATAAATCACATGCGTTCCTCTCCATGTGTGCTTGTGTTCTGTGTGTGTTCATGGAAAAAATAGATGGTTTATTTTATTTTTATGTATGAAAAGAAAGAAGTTCAAATATAATAAACAAATAAGTTCAAGAATATGTAACGGTTTAGAAACCTGAGTTTGAAACATCTTGCAGATTTTCAGATACATGTGTACAGTCGTCAAAGTTCAGACAAAAATGCTAGCTAGCTCACTGCGAGGTCTGAGGCAGGGCGCGCACGTTGAACAAAATGGATTCATTGATCGGTTGTTTCTGGTCGAGGCAGGGCGAGCACGTAGTAGCAAGCAAAAGCTAGCTCACTCCGAGGTCTGATACATACATCGGTTAGTTGATAGCATTTGTCAAGCTAGTACCCACGTGCGTAAGCAATAGCAGACTTTATCAAGCTAGTACCCACGTGCTTAAGCAATAGCAAAAAGCATTCGGTGATTTTGTTCTCTATATTTCAAAGTATGTGGTGTACAAAAAAGAGAGGACTTAGTTGACCCACACACAACAGAAAAACATTGGTCTAAAACATCATGTTGTATAGTTTCTTGTTCCGTATTATTTCCTGAAGTTCAACGGTATGTATGGATGCAAAAAATGTATTTTTTGATATGTTAGTTTCAATTCAAAAACTACAAAACACCAAGTAAGTTCAAATACTAGAAGAAAAGGAAGTTCAAAAAAGGAGAAAAATAACACACAACATACACGACATGAAAAACAAGAAAATAAAAAAAAGCCTCACCAGAAATTGTTTACTCACAAAGTTTAAGAAAAGAAAGAAGTTCATTTTTATATAAAAAAAGTAATTTGACGTTCATAAAAAATTGATATAAAAAAATCAATTTTCAAAATAAATAAAAACCTAGAATCTCAAATTAGAATAACAGAGCATTTCATTTTTGTTGTTAAACCAAGAAGTTTGAATTAAACTAATAGAGTAGTTCGATCTTAATAAAAAATTGGAATTTTTTTGTTTCTAGAAATATAACCAAGAAGTTCAAATTAAAAAACCAAAGCACCACAATACTTTTATAGGAAGAATGAAAAAACGCTCACCTAGAATAAAGTTAACTCTCGATGTCCATATTTAATAAAATTGAAGAGTTCGACAAAAATGAGAAAACAAAACAGAGACACATAAATTTGTACAAAAAAAACTCATGGATTTCCCGTCTTTGGAAAATTGAGTTTCCTAATTTCTAAAATAACCAAGAAGTTCAAATTTAAAAAATCAATCATTTCAAAAATTAGAAAGAAAACATGGATTTCCCTGTTTCTAGAAAAACCTAGAGTTTCAAATTTAAAAGACAAAGAAGTCCAATGTTTATTACAAACCCCAAGAAGGTCAAACAAAAAAACAAAGCATCTCAACACAAATTTATATAAAAAAGATTTTATCCGTTAAAATACACGGAGCAGATCGATGGTTATACAAAATTCAGATTTTACTCTTTATTAAAGAATGAAAACAAGAAGTTTAACTTTTAAAAATAGAGCAGTATGAAATTCATAAAAAAGGATTTTCACCGTTTCTTACAAAAAAACCCGAGAAGTTCATATTTAAATAACGGGCTAGTTCAATATTTATTAGAAAACTAGGATTTTTCCATTACTACAAAGAAATAAACCAAGAAATCCAAATTACGAAAATAAAGAAGTTCGATATTTATAAAATCTTAGGTTTCCTTGTTATTAAGGAATAAAGGAGTACTTTGATGTATACGAAAAACTGAAATTCTTTCTGTCTGTAGGAAAAAGGAAAGCAAGAAGTTAAATTTTAATAAAATTGTATGATTCTAAAACCATATTTTTTTCTCCGGAGAATAAAACTATTAATGTTTTAGAAATTATGGGTAAAAAAGCAAAAGAAAAGTTCAAAGTGGAAACAACCAGCGGTTCAACTACTACATGGAGTGTGTTTCATATAAGAAAAAAAGAATAAAAAGACAAAGTCTAAAAAGAAATTAGCTAGAAATTCACGTGTTTCGGCCCATGAAGTTCAAAAATTCTTGTAAAGGAGGTTCACTTTGTATTTAGTTGTTCAAATACACACAAAAAAGTTGTTTCTAGTGTTTTAAAACAGTTTTCTCAATCCATCATAAATTTGAAACATAATGCTCAGCACAGAAATGTTCTTCTATTCAACAAATTTCAAAGGGTATATCATATTCTTATTCAAACATAAACGGTTAAAAACAAGTTGGTGTATATTGTCCCAAAAAGAAGTTTGATCATATTAAAAAAATTGTGTCTTTTCAACATGTTTCTAATGGTTTACCATTTGTGAAACTCCGAGTAACGAGTGAGAAATTATGAACAAAAATACGTGGTAGAAGTTCAAAGTGAAAACAGCGTGAAGTTCGATGATTATAGAAAACTCAGATTTTTCCTCGTTGTTAAAGAATGGAAACAAGAAGTTCAAAAATAAAATAACAAGAAGTTCAACCATAGAGCGCTTCAAAATTTCATAAAAAAGATTAAAAGAAATAAAACGAGGAAGTCCATATTAAAATGATAGAGAAGTTCGATGATTATAGAAAACCCATATTTTCCTTGTTATTAAATAATAGAAACAAGAAGTTCAAAAAAAAAATAACAAGAAGTTCAACTTTTAAAAATAGAGGGCTTCAAAATTTCATAAAATTAAGAAATAAAACCAGGAAGTCCATATTAAAAAGATGGAGAAGTTCAATGATTATAGAAAACTCAGATTTTCCTTGTTATTAAACAATGGAAACAAGAAGTTCAAAAATAAATAACAAGAAGTTCAACTATTAAAAATAGAGCACTTCAAAATTTCATAAAAAAGGATTAAGAAAATTAGATTAAAAATTCATAAAAAAACTCATATATTTTCATGTATCCGAGAGAAGATCAGATTGATAACTGCCAGAAGTTCATGTACTACACGGTGTGCATTTTGTATTAAAAAGAATAAAAAAAGCAAAGACTAAAAGTTTGTTGATATAAGTGCAAGTCCTCCATCGGAGAAACTTAAAAAATATTGTGAGAGAGGTTTATACAAAAGAAATACCATTTGTGTAAAACTTGATGAATGGATGAGAAAATTACAAATAAAAAATACGTCACAGAAGTTCAACATAAAAACAACAGGAAGTTCACCTACTACACTGAATGAATATCAGATGAAAAACTTTTAAAATGGTCGCGAGTATGAAAAAATGATCAACACGGGAAAGTTGTGTGTTTACAACAGCTTTCCACTGGTATATCACTTGCTCAATTCCGGTGAGTGGGTGGAGAGCTACGAGCAGTGGATGGAGAGCTACGAGCAAAAAACACACATGAAAAACAGAGTGAAGTTCAAGTTGACATGCCGAGAAGTTCAGCTTCTTCACGCGGTGCATTTTCGAAGAATCTGTTTCGCGATAAAGGCAGAACGAATGATCTCGCCATTTTTGAAATTACTTGAAAACGGTCAGGATTAAGAGAAAACCATCAACATGAAAAAGTTTCGCATTTTCCATAGCTTTTCAGCGGTATATTATTTGCCCCATTCCGATAAAGTTTGTAGAAATTATGGCAAAAATACGTTTTTAACCATTTTCAAAACTGACATAAAACCGTAATGAATTAGGAGGAACAATATATACAAAAAACTAACATAAAACCGCATTTCTTCAAGCTTTCCAACACCATATCATTTGCTCCATTTGGACGTACGGTTAAAAAATTAGCTCGAAAATACGAACTCGGTGGAACTTGTACTGTTTTCTAAATTACTTTTAAACCATTCAAAATTAGAAAAAACTTTTAACATAAACAAGTAGCGCATTTTCATAAGCTTTCCAACGCCATATTATTTGCCTCAATTGGATTAGCCATTTAGAAATGGCATCGAAAATACGAACTTGGGTGTTTGGTTTGCGAAATTTTACAATTTTCCGAATTACTCTTTAACCGTAGTGAATTAGAGAAAACTTTCAACATGTGGAAGGAGCGGTTTTGCAGCAGCTTTCCAACGCCATATTGTTTGCCTCATTACGATAAACAGTTTAAAATGCAATCGAAAATACGATTCGCGTTTTTTGTATGAAGAAAAAACGGTTTTCAAAACTGCTCTTAAACCGCTTACATTT